GGGCTTCGCGTGCACGCCGCACGGGGTCACAAGATCCTGCTGCGCGCGTTAGGGAAAAACCCAGAGCCACCAAGTTGTCATTTGTTTACAAGAATTAATGCTATTTCACATGAAATATTAAAGATAAGGGATGTTTGAACCCTCAGTGTAATGAGCTGTTTGAACTTTTAAAAATATTTACTTTTCATCACACAGCAGCACTATGCTGAGAGATCTTTACTTGCATTGTTGCTCCCCCGGATCCTTTTAAAGCATGCTGGCATACCTGTCACTACATGAAAACAAAGAAAAAAAGTCTTCTGGGGAGCAGGAGCAGCAAAGGCTCCAGGGCATCCACAGCACCGGTGTGACCGCCATGGGACGGGATGTCCCCAGGTCACACACGCACAGGCGTGAACCGTTCGGAGGCATGGAGCGATGCACGGCGGGGGGCCGGCAAAAGCACACGGCTTTGCTGTGGCGAGTCCCTGGACTGCGACCGAGCCACGGGGACAGCAGAGCCTCCTCGGGTGGCTATACCGGACCGTGCATGAGGAGCAAAAATCGCTAGGTACCAGGGAGCACGAATACAGGGTAAAAATGACACTGTAAAAGTTATTTCCGTAATGTCTCGTATTAGTTTACTTCTGTATATTCTGACAGCACTATTCTGACACTGTACTCTGACCTTTCAGGCAGTAGAGACGACAGAATTTTACTAAGCTGTGACTTGTTTTAACTACAGTATATTATAGAAATGTGTCTTATGGTATCTATCATAAATCTGCCATATACCTTTCAGGTGAAAATGCAAAAAGCTGTATTTGTATTCAACAATTTTGATATAAATTCTGGGGAGTTTGATGACTTTCTTTTGGGGGAAACTGCTTAATTGCATCAGAACTTCCTCACAGGTGGTGGTGGTGGTTTTTTGGGATTTTTTTTGTTGGTCGGGTTTGAAGTATTCTCTGGACATGGAGTTATAGCTTTGCCCATTTCTTTGGCTCCTGAACCACTCATCCAGTTAATGATTTATATATTTTTGAAGACTTTTAAACTGCTGGAGTTGCAAAGTTTTGAACACAATCCATAATATCTTAGCATTAATGTCTTGCATCTGCTAAAAGCAGAACTTCCCTCGTTAACCCTGTACAGTCAGGTGCCCAGCAGCACATTTTGACTTTTATTTGCTATCAGATGCCTAACACCATTTTAAACCACACACGCACACTCAGAACACTGGCAAGTTAAACTTACATTGCTCACAGAGGTATTTAACTGTTCACCTACTTGTAGAGAGGAGAAGCAAGGTTTTCATGCAGAGATACTCTTCATAGGAGACTTGAAGCCGTGAGAGCTCTCGGGCAACCATAAGCATATGTTTGCATTGTTCATACATACATGGGAGATTCATTCTCTGCCTGAGAAACAAGAGCACAAAAATCAGTTAAATGTCCAGATATCTGAAAGTTCTAAATCTAAAGTTTTTCCACGTTTCATTCAAGAGCAGCAGCGGTTGTAGAGGCAGATGATAAGCTAGTACGTGACCTATCTCACAGCAAAATTATGTTCATTTTTTCCTCCAGTGAACCCATTCAGGGCGATTGCCTTGGTCACACCCATAACCACTGGCCTGGAGCTGCAGCATGAGGGGAGCATGACACGTGAAACCCCAGTGTGATAAAGGAAGCCTGTCTTTACCAAGGACAGATCAGTACGCTCTGTTATCCACAGCCAACTCAACAGCTCAGTGCAAACTTGACATAAAAATCAAGTTCAGTCACCATGTGCCGAAGTTCTCGAAGTCTGGCAGGTCCCAAAGCATTGATACGTATAAAGAAACCTGATGGCATACTCTACTAGATATGGGAGCTCTCTAGTTCTTTCAAATACTTCTGAGAAGTCCACCTAAATCTAATATGTATTTGCTCACTAGTGATAGCATCAACTTTCCATAACTTCTCAATTTTCAAAGTGACTTTATACTTCTCGTATCCATTTATGTTCTTAAAGCAATGCCAAATATTGCCATTAATGTCATTGCCTTTGTACTGTAATAATGAGGTTTCTAACCAGAAATGGGAAGACATGTCGACAACCAAAGGAAAATCTTAGAAAGCACTTACTTGGAATCAGAACGACAAACGTTATGTATTTATTTTCCTTTTTTTTTTTTTTCTATTTTAATGAAACCCTGCATTAAGAAAGGAACTCCCCCTTTCAGTTAGCACCTCACCGGATATAACAATCCTCTTTACACGTGCTTTATAGCTGCCTACCGTGTGTGCTGCAGGATTAGTTTGGGTGGGAAATGAACAAGAAGAACAGATTAATTCTGAAGAGTGTAAGAGAGGTTTATGCTTTTCCACATAAACTTTTGTAGAGAAAAAGACAGCTAAACAGTACGTTTCAAATGCAATGACTACACAATCTCTCTGCAGCGATGCTGGCAATTTATTTCTCATTAATGATGTGTCACCTTTTCTAAGATATCACCTATTCAATATTATAATCTAAACAAAGGCGCGGACAGAATTGAATCCCAGTATAAGTGAAGAGGCAGATTTGGCTCTGTAACTACACCAATTCCTCCAGAGCTGCTATCAGCTTTCATTTCTCCCTTCCTTAGCCCTGCAGGAGGATTACACAGTGTATCTTCACAAGCATCCTAAGAAACCCTAACCGAACACAAGAAGAAACACACGCCTTTCTCACGGTGCAAACACCTAAGAGTAACAGGAATTTGGAAGAGTTTGAAAGACGGAAAAAACTACAAGCTAGTGAAACTGTATTAAAGACAAATCCAGCACAAATCTAAACCCCATGATTTCCCAATGCACGCTGCTGGACAGGTACCTACAGCCATAGGCATGCACGCACACACACGGACCCAGAAACACCGGCACCAGGTTAGACCTCAGTGGTCAGGGAGCAACAGCCAGAATACAAAGTGCACAGGACACACGTCACACGGAAGAGGAGTGAGTGTGAGGTGTTCAGCTGCAGGATGTTTCTCAGGGCACTTGGCACAAAGACATTATTTGTCTGTTTGGTAGATCTTCTCCTAACTCCTCTGCGTTGAATCAAAGGGTATCTTACATATTTCAAATTGAGTAATTTAAACACATTCTGTGACAGGGCTCAGCAGCTTTCCTCATGTAAAACTATTACCATTTCTGGGCAGAAGGTTAAAATAAACATTATGAAATGGGTCAGCCTGTCATTTATTTCTATCTGCTGTAAATGCAATCACCACCGCAAGTCTGAGAGTCTATATGAAGATATATGAAGACATACAGATTTTTGGCATTACCAAGGCTATGCAAATTGCAGTTCTCAAAAAACAAAAATAAAACACAGCCCCCTCCCCCGGAGCAGTCCGAGTGCTCCCAGAGCTCTGCACTATGCCCTGGAGGGCAGCAGATCAGGCTGTGTCAGAACAGCGGGGAAGCTGATTCACTGGATAGCCCTTAATGCTGGCGAAGGGTCTGGGAAGAGGGCCCAGACATTCCCCCAGCAGATCTCCTGGCCAGAGCGCACCAGATGATCTCAGCTGCCGCAGGGCTGTGCGTGCAGGAGGCTGTCCAAGGAGCTGGGGCGAGTTCTAGACCAAAGACCCAGTGAAGAGCAGGGGCTTCGGGGCTCCTTCCTTCCTGCCTGCTCAGCTGCACTGGTACTCCTCCCTGCAGAGGGCATTTATAAAAAATAATTAATGAAGTTACTATTTATATTCATTATTACTTATATTATTTTTTAATTTTTTTTTTAATGGTAGCTTAGTTATTAAACTGTTCTTATCTCACCCCACAAGTCTCTTTTCCCCTAGCCCCTTTAATTCTCTCCCCCATCCCCAGGAGGCAGGCGGGTGATCGAGCGGCTGCGTGGGGTTTGCTGGCAGACGAGTGGGCTAAACCACGACAGCCATTCAGAGAAATTGAGACTACAACAGCTGACTAACGGTACTTTATCACTTTTGAAGTGATCCTGCTTTTGCGATTGTAAATCTAGTCCAATTTGAATCACCTTCTTGTTGTATGAGTATCTAACACTCCTCTGCTTTTGAAACCGCTACCTCAGAAAAAAGCAAGGCAGTCGGGCATTAGCGGCAAGTTTCAGCTCAATGAAAGCCCATGCAACGCACACGGGATGTACATATGCATTCTGTGTGGGATGCATGTTGATGACAAAAGCATGTGAGGATTTTCAACAGTGCTGTGAGTCATTCAGTTCAGCTAAGTCTATAAAAGAAGAAAAATCAGTAAACAAGATGCCGGTATTCTGAAAAACAGATGATGCTGACTCCACAGAATTAGTTACAAAAGAATATTTGGAAAAAAATCCGGGAAGAAGAGAATTGATAAAACATTGCTTATAAAACTGCAATCACTTGTTTTTTTCTTTCTATTCAACTAACACCGATAGAGATATTCTGTGTGGCATATAATATTGTAAGAACAAATGAGACCAAGAGGTTGACCTCAAACCTAAGAAAAGCAAAGAGCAGAGATGATGAGCATGCAACCAGAGCCAAAATCCCAAGACACAGGACTTCCAAGAACTTATTTCTAAAGCCAGGCAGCAATTAAATGGCATTTGCTACTTGATGAACACAACTGTGCCTTGGTTACTGTTGCTCGCTGTAATTTCATGTGCATCGGGACATCCAGAGGTCCAACACTGATGCAGTAATAGTGCCAGTCCCAACAAAAGTGTGTTTTGAATCGCCAATTGTTGAAACAATTATACAATACTACAAAAATCACAGGTTTATGCAATATCCAAATACTAAATGATGGTCTAAAGCCTAAGATTTATTAAGCCGCCAAACCTTTCAACAACTTGAATTTAGTTTTGTGTGTGTATGTATCTAAAAATACATATACCATGGATGAAACTGCCAGCTGGTATACACATACCTCCATAAAAAAAAAAAATAATTGTTTTGAGATGTAAAATGATGACCTTACTGAGCACTAAAGTTCTGATAAACCTCTACTGAATAACATTATTCAAATATATTGGATGATTTTCCTTTTGTTTTTGTTCCCCCCCCCCCCCCCCCCCCCGCCAATGATAGGAGTAGAGACATAAAAATGGAATATTCAATAAATATTCAATTTTTAGGAGAAGACTGGCCAAATGACTAAGCAGCCTGCTTAAGACTCAAGAAGAACAGAGTTTTATTCTCCCTCTACCACAGACTGCATCGATGATATTCAGAAAATTCAGTTATGGAGGAATCTCCAATGGTACCAGTGAGTAGTGCATTCAGCACTCCCACGGCTACAGCACCCAAGCACTAAGCAAAACCAAGCCTCTGATTCTGGGAAGCTTTATTGGTGCATTCACGGTAAGATATTTATAAACGCTAAGGATCTGTTAGCTGAAAATGTAGCATGACAAACCTCTCAACGGGTTAGACAGGTTCTTTACGTACAGCCCAGTTACACACAGTCGCCTGGAAAGTGTCGACACGAGCTGGGGGTCTTGCTACTCCGTATGTAAGTCAGTAGTAACTCCACAGGAATAATACTGGGCAGGGCTGGTGCAAGGATAAATGCATGAAAGACTGATGTTGCTCAGATGCTTGAGCAGACACATGAAGCTAAAGAAAGTCTTATTATCCCCATAAAGAGTTCAGTTGTAAAAAAATATTTGGCAGTTATGCGCATTTACATCACCTGGGCTGGGAGAACCCTTCAAAGACAGTTTCTCCTCCTGAAGCTGAAGACACTGCATTGTACCAAGTATGAGGACAGGGCGTTAAAGCTCAGAAACGGAATAAAATAAACAGTTTCTAGAAACCCATAAAAAACCCAAACAAAATTAAAATAGAAGTGACTGCACTGATCTGTAACCATGCAGCTAGCAGGGCGGAAGGCACGGCATCCTCTGTCGTTACGTGTTACCCCCTGTCCCCGTTAACGTTGGCTATGCAACCTCAGCTCTCAGCACCAGCCACACGGTACTACTGACTCCCTGCCACCCTGTCCCGAGAACTGCATTCCCACTCCTGAATGCTCCACGGTGTTACGCTGCTGCAAGCTCCAGGTAAAGGTGCCAGAAAGGAAGTGCTCTGAGACCACTCTGGTTTATTGTTGTCACGAGGATACAAAGGAATAGAAAGAAATAACGGGATGGTAAGATGCCAGTCTGTTCCATTCTGGATTTACACCGTATGCAGTAACATCTATACTTTCCTTACGATCCTACTGAGGGTCAGCTGTTTGTAAGGAAAATTAAAGGAATTTTTTGGGTCAAAAGCAGGCTAAATATGTTTACATAATCCTACGGAGACTTGAATACATGTAATTCCATATACACAGGGAGATGTTATCACTTCTAGCACAATGGGATATACCCAATTCTGTTTGATGTGTAAGCTCTAATTACGCAACAGAATTGAAAACCCAGCACGTGAATATTTGCTATGATCCTGTAAGGCTGAAATGATACTGGTCTGCATGGGGGGCTCATGTGAGGCTTGGAAGTTGTTGCCAACTCCTCAACTTGTTTATACTTCTATTTAAGAAAAACAAGTACTTCACCAGGGTAAAGGCTGTGGCTTGAAGAGACGTAAAACCTCCTGGAATTATTGTATTCTAACACACCATGGGTAAAGACATATCATTTTGTTCTAGTCCCTTACTGAAACAATGCTTTGAAAGTGCAACCAACAGATATGAAGCCAGAGCACATTCGTAGTTGCAAATGAAAAATATTCTTACACAGAACAGATCTGTAGAAATGTCATTTGCAGATCTCAAAAATTACAAGTCCAGACAACTTCAACCTCTTTATCTGCAAGCAGAAATTTGAAACTACTGAACAGGAAGCCAAAAATCTGATGCAGACAGCCTCGGTTAACTGTAAAAACGTCTGTGAGCCTGGATTGCAGACAGTCAAAATGAAGGTTCTGGTTCTGCTGCGCACACAACACCTACACGTAACTGTATTTAGTGGAATCAAGCTTTAAAATTTATGAGGAAAACTCACTTTTTTCCTACTATTCCAGAGAATTCACTATTATATTATTAAATATTACAGTTGTTTTCAGAACTACCAAATAATGGAGTTGTTTTGACCCTTAGAGGATGCTACTTTTCCTATTATTTTCTAATGGTTATGGGGTTTAATAGATAGCTGATTCTTACACCAAATAACGTTAGCTTTCCAGCATTCCTGACACATTAAGCAAGAGCTTCAGGGGTGGGGAGCAGGATGGAGTTGCTGGGGTGCCAGATCACTCACACGCGTATCAGAAAGCCGCGCTGAACAAGCCCCAGCAGGGTTTTGAGCGGCACTTCATACCGCAGTGCTACCTTTTGAACGACGGATCAAGCAGAGAGCGGACACACCAGATCACTAAAATCCAAGAGCATTTTTTCTCGATGTCCATGATGTCTCTCTTGCCCTGCCGAGCACTGAGCATCAGCACAGCCTCCCCGATGGCGCTCCCCTCCGGCTCTCCCTGCGGTACCGCGCTTCACAAGCTGCCTGTAACTCATGCCGTGGCTCTATGTATTGTTCAGTGTGTGTCACGCTGAACTCAGGGGCGGCAGTATTTTATTGATGAATGGTACATAAAAAGTTACGACCAGAGAGTTTTATGGGGAACCTGTAGCACACTGGAGAAGGAACTGCAGTTCTCTCAGCCTACAGATTTTATTGAAAACCGATGTCGTTTTGATAAACAATTTATGTACCAAACTGTAACTAGAATGAATTAGAAAATTAATATTGAGTGTAATAGGATTACCCTTGCAGGGTTTTTTTAGGAGTAGTGACACACACTCAGCTGTATAGCTCTGTGGTTCTGACCCACTGATAAAACAGCAGGAGACCTCTACCTAAAAGCAAATTAGAAGGTATTACACTTAATTAGTGACAATATAAATTATTTCAATTCTACCACATGGAGTCTATTTTACTCCAGAGACATATTCTAAGAACTCTTATAAACATAAGAAAACAGATGGACCCTCACTCGTCAGCTGCTCCTCACCTTTTTTTGAAAAATATTTATTATAAAGAAAGGATTACAGTTTATAAACCCCTGGAAAAATATTTACATTAAAGTGAATAAACAGTCATGAGAAAGAAGTAGTCTGAAATGTAAATGGCTCATCTCATGGAAAATGCAACAATTAGGGTTTGGTTTTTTTTTTTAAACTGAGAATAGATTTAGGAGATGTGATACTAAGGTGCAACAGGAACAAAAATGTTAAAGACTACTGTGTCAAAGCATGCCAAAGGGATCAGTATTGCCTCCATTTTAAAGACAGAAAACAGAGACATGAATAATACCGTGTCACTTGCATCGCTTTTCAAATTATTGTCAGTGAAACTGTGATGTTAAAAAAGTTTTGATTGTAGGTGTCAAAGGCACCGTGTATTTATTAGTTTTAGTCCCCACAAATGGCTCGTGCCATTTCAGGAAAAAAGAAACAGCAAACCCATAGTGACAGCACCAAATCCACTGGAGCCTGCAGATGGGTAAACCAGACCTCGAATGGCTCTGGCCAGCAACCTCCACGATTTACATCCACAGCGTATTTTCAGCAACGAATTCAGAATACAGACAAAATGCCTCGACAGGCTTCATAAATATCGCTAGCAAGGCTGGCATTGCAAGCCTGAAAGATCGCTTGAAAGGTTTGGTACAGACTACACAGACACTCCTCCACCTGCCTGAAGAAACTGCTTTTTAGAGCACGAGCTGAGGGACACAGTAGGCTGACACGGCTTCACAGCAAAAGGCAGGGCAGTGGGATAGTCCATCGGGATGGACTCTGGAATCACTGCACAACACCAGCTGGAAAAATACAAGGAAAATGGTGCTTGCTGCAAGGAAAAAGATGTCTAAATACTCTAGCTAATTCAACTTTTATTGAAAATTGATAACCAAGTTCAATTAAAAAAAATGTAAGTCAGACAAGGTTTTCTGTTTGTAATCTTGTCTTTTTAGACAGAGTTTAATCAGGCTCAGATACAAACGTTTAACTGATCAAGAACTCTGCGAAAGCACTAGGACCCTACTATCATTTTTACACAATAAACACCCAGAACATTATGCAGTTTGCCAAAATTTCTCTCCATCTCAGACATATTTTTAGTTTCAGCTGTGTTGGCTCTGATAAAAGGAAGGATTACAATGAATGGTGCAGAAACAGTGACAATATGGAACACAAACACCTCCTACAAAAACTTCTTGATATAAATACACTTAATATCTAAAATACCTTTCTTCCATTTGACTTATTTAAAAACTCCAAGCAATCTGCTAAATGAAAAACAAGTTGCAAACGACAGGCTGATCTGTGATCTCTGGAAGAATTCGCTAGCCAGTGATTCACCTTGCAAGTGCACAACCCAGAAACACTGCGTGGAGTCTGCTGTCACCCCGAGAAACCTGGGAAGTGACTCAGGTCTTACTTACTCGTTAATGATCAGGTCTGGAGCAAAGCACAGGAGATTTCCATTTGACTGTTTGTATGATCTCCATCCTAAAGCAAAAGCCATTAGGAACATCCAGGAGTACTGCAGTAGGGTCATTTGGTCATCCAGATGTAAATTTCGGAAACCTGGAAAAATGAAAACTGAGGTATGACAGTATTGGTTGCAAAAAAAGAAAAAAAAAACCCTAACTTTATATTAATAGAAACTGCTCTTTTTTTTTTTTAAATATTCCTTTTTTTTGGTTGCTAAGGTGCTAAAGGACCATACTTATCTTGCCATATTACCGCCACCTGAGTCAGTCAAGTATTTCTGTATTTTAGATGAGATTTTTGATGGAAGAAAAGAAGAAATTAGAACAGTAAGAGGTTTCTTACGAGCAAGTTCTTGTTGGAAAAAAAAAAAGGCACTTTAAAAGGGGTGCAAAATTTCAAATCCATTTTCCAGCTACTACGGTGACATTCAAATACTTAGTGTACCAGTAAGGACTCCTTTGCCTATCCGAAATTTTGCACATGTAGAAATTGTTTGTAACCACAGGACTCAAATTACATCTTCTGGACAATACGACTCCGTACGAGACTTGGGCAGAAGGCTCCGGTACAGCTCAGCCTCCAGCTGGCTCCAATGTGTAACTCCCAGCCATACAGAACATATGTAACACAGAAAAACAGGCAAAAGAGAGCAACGGAAAGAGTAACTCTTGGACTTTACATTATACATTATATCCACGTTTACATACACACATTTTCAAAATACATTCTCAGCACCCCACGGACAGAGTACCAGACGGGTAACCCTCCATGAGTACTATAGGTAGGAAAAGGGGATGTAATATTAGAAAAAATCTGAATATATGTCTGTGCTTATCTGGCACTGATGATCAATTAGATTACAAAAGACAATAATTACATTTAATACCCGCTATAATTCATTTGTCCATCTTCAAAAAATAACAGTATTTTTAACTTTTTGAGAGAACAGTCCACTAGACAATAAATGGCTTAGTGTCAAATTTTGTTCTTGTTCCAGAACAATGGTACACTGAACTTACAAAATATGTATTGCATTAGTTACCATTATTAACTGCTTCTAATCTTACAAGAATATGTAGCAAGAAAAGAGCCAATTAAACAATGAGAAAATGTATAAAATCTGAAAATTGGTCCTTTAAACAGTGTTAAAATGTAGGCAGCTTTTAATTTGCAACACTAGTTCTTATTAGATCCTGCCTACGTGTTGCAAGAAAGTATTGTGCCACACTGAATCACTACTAAAGTCTGAATTCAAGTTGATTTTATTTAATTTTATTGGGCATCTGACACCTAAAGAGCTCATAACAGTGCTGCTGCCTGATGACGCTTAAATAGGCAGCATTCAGGAGATAACACAGAACAGAACTTGGTATGCTGACACCTTCAAGGAAAGCTTCTGGCTTTGGAGACAGCAGGAACGACCATTTATTACTTCTAAAATACCAGCAAAGTGTTTCAAACGTACTGAGTCAAATCTTGAAATCTTTACTCAAACCTCCCTCAGGAAAAGGCTGTTTTGAAATCCCAACGTGTGGGTTTAGCAACCAGTGCTGGCTTACTGTGACTCTGTCTGATGGTGTACATAAATTAAACACTCACGAAGAACCACCTTAGCAACCAAAGAGAAGGAATAGGAAAAAAATGTCAGGAGCAGTTCCTATTAATATCATTATTAAAGAGGAGATTGGCATTTTCATTAGGAGCACACATCCTACCCTGAAGGGTTTGTCTCATTCGGGAAACTGCTCAGAAGAGATTACGACCACAGAACGGTTTTATAGAAGTGGCATCGAAATTTGTGTTTGTGAATACCAGATGGGCTCCTGAAGACTCGCCCCAGAAGGTGTGCGCGGGTGAACCTCTCTAACGCAGCCCGCAGCTAACGCAGCGCAACGCCCACCGCGGAAAAGCTCTGACTGACGGACCAGCCTCTGCTCACACCTCTGCACAGAGCTAGTCGACTTTGTCTTTCTTTCCTACTGTTAATTTATTTCCCCTCCCTCAGAAGAGATATCATTAAGCAAAATGGACCCATAAATTTCATGATCAGCCTTTTTTCAAGTTGGCAGACCTGTTCCATGACGTTATTCTTGAGCAGCACATGCACTGGGAGGTGCTTTTGCTGGGTTTTTGCAAAGGGGCTACTAACGGCACTGAGTAGAAGTGAAAGGGAGAAAAACACTCGTCTTTCTTCCCTCAGGAATAAACAGATCTTCAGCTCCCCTTGCTGCCCTGGCTGCTCCCAAAGCCCTACTACGGGATGCTCTGGGTTGTGTCCAAGGCTGAGAAGGGACATCACTTCTTCCGTAAGGCAGCTGCTAACTGTGAGCTCAGGTGGGAGCCAGCACAGCAGCAACCCTTCCACGTTCCCCAGGTGATGGTCAGTTTAATCGTGCAGCTACAGCACCTGGGAGAAAATGGCCATCTTGACTTCCACCCTGGAACTGGACGCTCAAACGCCTATTCCCAGTGAAGACAAACCTACAGCTATGGTGAGGGGTAGTGAAACAAGAACCCCCCATGAATGCAGACCCAGACGAGCCAGTACAGCAGCACCAGCCTGTCAGAGCCAAGAGAACCTCAGTGCTGAAAATATTCACAAAATAATTATCTAAGAGGTGGAGCCAGAGCCAGTAGAAATAGCTCTCTACATTGCTTTTAAAAACAAGTCTCCACTTTAACATGAATTTTAACACTCAACGGTCAAAGGGTTCAAGCAAAATGACCTCATTTGTAACTGCAGTAAATAAATTTCTGCATCGGTATTTTTTTCTGCTTTTCCACCCCAGACACACTGGAGACACGAATTAGCTCAGATATTCTCAAACCATCATCGGTGACGGCTCTGAAGGATACCCAGCACAAAACAGATTTTAAGCACACCGAAAAGACTTCAGTCTGTAATTGAGGCATTTGCACATTACCTGGTATTGCCTTTGCCCACTTCACTGCAGCCACTACTTGCCGTCCTCCCAACATGTTGAGCGTGGAGAGGATGCGCCAGCTGGAGTCGGGCAGCGTGCTGTCGTAGCCCGAGTACAGCACCTCCGGCTCGATCACCTCCAGCAGCGACACCAGCGTGGGGGTCAGCTGCGGCAGCGACGCAGGAACGATGCTCTTGTTTCCAGCCGCTTCGGAAGCATCCCGCGTTCCCGCTACGCCAGTCTGCTGAATTCCTTTTATCTTCTTCTTTGTTTTTCGAGCTAGGAAAGTGTTGGTAAGTCACAGGTTAGACAGTGGAAAGTGACCGCACAGCAATAAAAACCGAACAGAGGAAACGCTGCTTCCGTTTTCCTGCCGTTGTAGGTCAGACTGTTGAAACTTTAAAAGCATCTTTTTTTCATCAATCTGCAAATAATTTCACATTAATTCTAGTTAAACTTCCTGTGAAAATAAGTTTCTTTTACATTTAAATGAAAGCTGCATTTATGTTAGTGTTTCAAAATGCTAAATCATGTTTGCAGGGAGTACAAACACAAAGCCTGATCCTACAACTTCTATTGTGTGCAAAATTTCAGTGAAACTGCATGTGACAGCATGACACCTGTTTGGAAATCTTTGCAAGACTGCACCCTTTGTAAGTTCCTTTAAAATATTAAGTATAGAAGCCATACAGAGGAAAGGAAAAAAAATATATTTAATGGGTAAGAAGTTACTCAATCTCTCGCGCCAGGGAAAACATTTTTTAGAAAATGCTGGGCAGGAGCAGATTCTCCTCTTGCCAGCTCGCTTGCATATAAATCATAGCTGTGTAATTAAACCATAAAACTCATTCGCCAAATAAATAAAACATCACACAGAGATGTTAACCGTAAACTACAAAAAGTTGGAGCAACCATTTTATTAGCATATTGTCAATAATGGAGCCTCCGACTTGGCTTGCAGCTCTCCTGGACGCAGCCCGCTACGCTGAACGCACTGCTTCACCGAGACCAAAACGAAACCCAGCTCTTTTCCTGGGTCTCAATTAATTAATTGATTGCTGTTCTGGAACTTCCGAGATAAATCCATAGCACATAAAAGCACCATGCAATGTGGTTTCACATTCAAAGATCCTACTGACCTAGTCACAGAACCTCTAATCGTCAGGAGGCACCGGCTCTGCAGCTCAGCACCACGCAAAATCCCCCTCCTGACCTCGTTTCTCCCACTGCCTGGGACAGAGGCTTCAGAAACTGACTGCTACAGACAACAAATCCTCCATGGACCCTGGATAAACTGCAGTTTCCCAAAGGCTTATACACCGGCCACATCTGCCAAGACTGTCATGGGGCAATGGCAACAGTTATTTCCTTGGAGCAAGGAGCTTCTTGCTATTCTCCTCTAAATTTTGCAATGGCTGCTCCAGAATCCCTTCCACATTCTGATGTTTTTTTGCCCCGTTATCCTCGTTCTCAAAAGCAAACGAACTGCTTTGACTCAAATTTACACGCACGTGCCATCAGCTGCATGCAGACACCTGGTATGGAGCACTTCCAGCCCAAAAGTCTGGTAGAATTATAATCAAAAGAAATAGATCTGATAAGACACAGTATTATGAAAAAATTTTTATTAGGCTATGCTACTAGACCTGACTTAGATATATAGTTGTAACTCACAAAAAAAAAGAACCTTGTATTTCTTCACAATTTATTTTCAAATATAAAACCACCACAAATGTAAAGCCAGCTCCTTAGGGCAAACTACATTAGATAATCCATGCAGATAAACTCGGCGTGGAAGTAAAGGCATCCAAGATTTTCTGTTAAAGACAAACAACCCCCCCTAAAACCCTGCAGTCTGGCACCCAAGGAGGCTGCAGAGGCTTCCCACTTCACTGCACAGGCTTCCTGCCCGCCGGGCAGATGGCCGGCACACCTGAACCACGCCGGCACGGCACCATCCGGGGGGTGATGGACCGCTCCCACCACCCAAGGCTGCCAGGGAGGCACGAAAACCAGGCACCTCCCTTCTGAAATGGGATTTATAATGAACCCACCGCTGTTACAGCGCAGGGCGATGAATATGATTAAAAAGAGGAAGAGATCCTTCAAAAAACTGAAATAAATTCAAAATGAAGATGACAGAAAGAAGCCATAAATTGCCAACAGTTTAACCATAAAATGTGGTATGAAAGGCCAAAAAAATTATGAGGGTTTTTTTTTTTTACAGGCATAAAATATGACAATAAATCCTCTTTTCAAACACATCGGAAAGACAAAGGGTGCCAAAGAATGCCTGGGGTCAATTAAGGATGAAGGCAGAAATGAGAATTCAAAGAAATAAAGGCTGCAGTACAAAATATCATTATTCTACTGCACAAACCCCTGGTACCTGCAGCGTGATAGCTGTATATTTTTCCAGTCCCCTGCACCCAAAAACCCATGGAACAGAAACAAGAAGGTTCCAGAAACGGGTGATAAGTAGGGCCAAAGGTATGACAAACTATAACAGAAAGTTACCAAGGAAGATGTTTCTACTGTACCAGGAGACCCTTTTGCCTCAGCACAAGAGCAGGTAAGAATTAAAACATCGCATGGCAGGTTTTAGTTATTTATTCAAAAAGAAGCCAGCCTTCTACCCAACACCGACAGTGAAATTCACCGCAGGCGTTATAAACCTAGAGACACTCAACGTGTGCCTGGACAGATCCAAGTCTCCCAGCGAGCAGGGCTCAGTATTTGTGCACTGAAGACATACCTGCTGATGTTTCAAAAAGAGATTACTGTCTGAAAAGTATGCAAATTGCATTATCTTTTAAAGAGTCATTCCTGCACTGTGACCCTGAAACAGCCAAGACAAAAGGAACTCCTTTTTAGTTTCTCCTGCACTGTACGATGCCTTCCAGTTTTATTTTCTACCAGCTCTCCTGTGCGACCAATTCGCCATCTGTTCAGATCTCTCTGATAAACCGCCGGCTCATGGTTGGTTTTCACTGCTTCCTCAGGTTTTTCCATTTTTGCGTTGACGAGTTTCTAGATCTCTTTTCCCTCTCAGTGATAAGCCCCCCCTGCTTTTCCAACAACTTATATAACAACATCCACCCTTCAAACAGTCACTATTCTCCAGGATTCTCTGTGCCAAAACTCAAGCAAAGGAACTATAGCTGGAAGGGCTCCAAACTACATGGGGAAAAGTGGCAAGCATCAGACGTCATTCAATTTTCATCTTTGGTGCAGAAAGGCAACTCAAGTAACACGTCCTAGAGCCCGAGATAGCTATATTGGTGTCTGCTTTAAAAAGAGGTCACGTAAACTGACGCAGGAATGGGAAAGGCTTATTATTAGAGCAATATACATAGTAAGGCACTTTATTCATATAAATACATGAATATGATGTATGTAGTGTGAAAACAGCTATGGAGAGAAAAAATAGAAACAAGCCTTAAAACAAAATGTATTCTTTCCCACCTCAAAATGAAAATTGTGTTTTTTGCATTACTCTAAACTTTCTTTAGGCTTTGCTGTTTTACTGGCTGCTGGCCACACCAGTCCCAGGAGGGCACTGCGTCCTTCCACCTTCGACATCAAGGCACGTGACTACCCTGTTGTCACCTCTGAAGGTCCAAGATTCAGCCCAGGAACCTCACGTGCCTTGGGGATTTATTTTAGAAGCCACCACGGTAGATGTTGGCTGTTAAGAGATGCGCCCTCATCCTGCACTCAGATCGCAGTAACGCCCAACGCACTGACCCACAGCCTCCTCTCCTCCCAGCACATCTCCGCACGAGGTCTGGGATGTACTGGTGAGCAGGTCACAGGAGGGGAAGCATTTCAGGCCGTGGGGATTCTCCCCTTTGCTCTGGAGGAAGAGGCGTGTAGAGCCCCTTGCAGGGCAGAGAAACTGGTGGTTCACCTCCTGACAGAGGCTGGAAGCAGAGCAGGAAGAGAGGACACACCAGCACCGATGAGCCACATACTGGAGTCTCTCTCTTTAACGTAATTCTCCACTTACATTTCACCAGAGGATATTGCCACTGACTGCAATGAAACTCTGCTCATATTTGTATCTGACAAATACATTTTTGACATTTTTATTTTATCTGACAATTTTGATTACACAAGTATCACCATGAGAACTATGCTAGTAAGTACCGCATTAATCTCTACGGATCAAGGGAAAAATATCAAGCATAAAACATAGCTGACACTAATAAAAATGTTTTATGCCATTTTACAACTGCTGCTAAATCTCTAGTTGATGTGGTCTTCAGTTTCTCATAAGCCATCCAGGACTTAGCACTGAACAAATATGTACTTGTATATTTAAGTTTATTTATTTAACCTATCTTTTCGAGAGGGATTCTGACAGACATTTAAGAAGAATCCACCACATGAACAAAAATAATTTCCTGTTCCTCAGCCTGAAGACACAAGCCCCACTGCAGCTTTAGATGTGTGTCTCTGGGCTTCCCCTCTCCTCCGTGGCTCCAGTGCCAGGTCACCCTCCTGAGCAGGGACGGGCAGGCGGCACACTTCCCCGCAGGAGTTCTCCCGGAGTTCTGCTGTCTCAGATCCAGTGAAAAACCAACAAGATATATGTGCTGACGGGGCTAAAAAAATAAGCCTGTTCTGTGTGTATGACTCACTTCTGCTGAACATACCAAGAGACAGAGCAGCTGAGTATGGACTGGAACGCACAGGAGAAATTTTAGCATTAAAAATTCTTGCTTTTCATTAAAATGCTCCCACACGCTACAAATGCAGTACCTGCTTTTAACATATTAAAGTGCTGCTCAAATAATCGCTTTAGCTTCACAAGCAGCATGACCTTTACGGTCTAGGACTCAAAAATTAAAGAAGGGATTTGAACATTTCAAGTTACCTTCGAGGTTCATGCCAGCTTGAAGACATTTCCGGTAGCGGCACGCTGGACAGTTTTTCCTCCGAATTTTGTCAATGATGCAATCGTTTCTCCCAGCACACAGATAGTTGTGCTGCCCTGTATTCACAAAGACAAACAAAACCACCATAAGCTCTGCAATTAGAGTATAGATGAAGTAATTTGTTCTTTCAGTAGCAGTAGGATCTGGGGACTACAGAATATCTTTACTGTACTTCATTTCTTGCAAAAATAAGATCAGTATCCATATGATTTCATATCTCTACACACTAAACAGATTTCTCATATTTAGACACCCAAGCCAATAAGTTTAGGAAGAAATCCTATCTTCTATTTGTTAACATCAGGGAAATTATATTTTTAAAATTGTTTCTTCTCTTACATTCCTCAAAGCCATCTTCTATAGCATGTTTCCAACTTCCCCAAATAGTTTCAGCAGACATGTACATAACATTCAGAAACACATTTTGGAAGTATACACGTCAACATTTCTACAGACACACAGACAGATCTTTCATCATGAAAGTCATGAAAACTCCTCGTGTTTAGCTCAGAGTCTGAACTGGACGAACAAGACCTCTGGCATTTTTATGGATTCACAGATTGTGAGCAAAACTGACCCTAGAAATACAGCAACTTGAGCTACGTAAATCAAAAGAACTGTACTCCTTAGCTGGTCAGAGCAGAACAGAAAAGCAGAATCTATTCTGAATTATTTGAATGATACGAATAATTGTCTCAAGGTAACTTCAGAGAAAGGTATTCCTAAAAGATACATCCTTCCCTCAGACAGGGATCAAACCCCAAACGCCTCCTTAGCTGGGAGAAAGCCGCCACCTAGGCTCTCACACTGCATTCCCAAGTCCTGATAGTATCCCAGGGGGAGAAACAAACATATTTAACAAATACTGAGTCGTTAATAATGGAGCCTCAGAGTCTTCTCACAGAAAAAAAAAAAAGCATGCTTAAGGAATTTGTTTCCGGTCCACTCTGAAAATTATGGGTAAGCAGAGTCCATTACTATGGCTTTAGTCAAACTTCTCCAGTGAAGTGCTTCAAGTTCCGAGGAAGCTCTGAGCATTTTTCTCAATGAACCACCCTTTTCCTTTTCATTTGGAGAAGAGGAAGCCTCACTAACCCTTGTGTCATCTTTGTGTTTAAGATAACTTAGAAAATAGATCCACGATTCCCAGTTCTGTTTCCTGTTAGCATCCTCATACACAGAGCCAATACAGATGCACACACGAAGTATAAACCCACGCCTGGCGGTCATCACAGCAGCAGGACCGAGACGGTAACTCCATGGCTCACGGAGATGCTCACACAGTCCATACGGATGCTCACGGAGATGCTCACATGGTCCATACGGATGCTCACACAGTCCCTACGGATGCTCACAGAGATGCCCACATAGTCCATACGGATGCTCCAGGTCTAGATCTTCCTGAGCTGATTTTTTCCTAACAAAGAGCTTCACCTCTGTGAAAGCAGTCTGATTTCTTGTATTTACTACTTACCTACTGTTGCCTTTTTCAGGTGAAAGCTACGCTCTCTCCCTTTGTATTCCATGACAATAAAGCCTCCTTGCCACGTCTGTGAGAAATGAAGTTGATTCCACCTCCCGCTTGGCTGCCCGGAGGAGATGCCAGTGGCACAAAGGGATGCATTTCAGAAAGCAGACAAAGGTACTTCACCAACAAGGCACTGGTAACAACTGGTAGTGAGCGAACGGAGATGCTTCCGAGGGAATTTACAGCACGTAGGAGCATTCTGCATGGATGCCAGACCCTCTTCAACATCGCACGAGTTGGAGCACGATGAGACTAACAAGTCATTGCTCATTTGAGCACAGTGGTGTGTAAAGGTTAGAAATTGCCGACAAAGGATTTTTAGGAGACAGAATCAAAAATGCTGAAGCACCAGGGCAACATGGAGCACAGCGGGAGGCAGAGGGGTCGGGGGAAGCTGGTGGCGGGGAGGTGTGAGGATGCGAAGCGGGGCGAGGATGCGGAGGTGGGGAGGAGCGGGGAAGGTCTGGGCTGGTGCAGGGTGGGGACACCATGCTGGGAGGTGAACAGGGCTGGTTCTGGGACTGCAGGAACTGGATCACAAGGGCTCTTGGCTCTGAAGCACCACAAATATAAGGACTAGAACAAGATGGCTTTGGCCACCCTGGGTTCCTCAAGAAAGGCCTGTTTGCATGAAGATATAATCTAATATACGTATAATATAGAACCATAGAACGGCTGGCTTGGAAAGGACCTTAAAGCCCCCCCAGTCCCACCCCCTGCCATGGGCAGGGACCCCTCCCACTAGCCCAGGTTGCCCAAAGCCTCATCCAGCCTGGCCTTGAACCCCTCCAGGGATGGGGCATCCACAGCTTCCCTGGGCACCCTGTTCCAGTGTATATTATATACATAATATATGTGTAATATACAGCTGCTGCCCTGCCTTCGCCCTTCCTCTCCTCCTCTAGTTCTGCTCTTTGCTGAAGGAAATACACTTTATATTGATTCTCTAGATACCGACACCTTCCGTTTCTGTGACTGTTTCCGTCACAGCGTACGTGCGTGTCGCCAAAGGCACAAGGGAGGGTTCCAGGCTACAGGCTGGATAACCAACGTGCAGCACCAGCTCCATCTAACAGGTGCCTGGCAGCTATTAACAAAAAGGATATTGTAGAAACAAATTCCTTCGACATATGCTGCTAATAAGAAAAATGCCTATAAGAGACAAAAGCAAATCATTTGGTCCTTGAAGTGAATGCTAGAGCTAACAGATCCTGGAAGAGCTCCTGAAAACATCCACAGTATCTGATGGGAAGGATTAAGGGTGGGATAATCTGTGGGACAATAAAAACAAAAGTGGAGGCAAGTCTTGAGGAATTTATTGCAATTTTTCAGCGACAAGCCTGCTTACATTTTTAACATTAATACAGCTGATATAAGATGCGGCAAGTCGCATCCCTGATCAAAAGGAATTACTGGGTTGGTATCTTCATGTATCAATACTTTCATGATTTGTTTAAACTAGAGGATGGGCAAAACCATCGCTGAGACACATATCCAGCTGCCATACACTTCTCCTGAGGGATATCAGTCACCTTATTTTAATCAAAGATACAGATGATTATTTGCTTCAGATAAAAAGCCTGGCTCTGAATGGGAGTGCAACACCAGCCAGGACCAGCTGGGAGTCAGGGAGAGCCCAAGCAGCTCACAGCTTTGCACTTGAGCTCAGATTGCCTCTTGTTATACTTCAGAAACAAAACCAGCACCTCCTTCTCTTGTGACTCACAAGAACTGCGATATGAACTTGACTTTTCCAACCCCTCCAAGAGGCTCTGCATTTCCCGAGCTCCCCAGTGAGCTGGGAACTGGGAGAACGTGCTTCTTCTGAAAGGCCGAATGGTGGCTCGTCTTCGCCAAGCCTTCCCTCTTCTCGAGTGAAACCCAACTTGCAAAAACGTGAGCAGAAAATGAGTCTGATTCAGTTCAAAATACCCGGGAATGGCTGCAAGACGACATGAGATGGGAAACTCTGTAATGTTGTAACTAAGAACGACATAATTTCAGAATAGGGACTCACTATCCTTTCAGAGACACTGAGTGCACTCCAACTTTTCTGCATCTCTCTGATACTGAAGAGCTGGACACTAAGACACAACCTAGTTCATGGCATAATGGCTACTTACGCAGCCCAAAAAATCACAGATTACTTACTGCTACACACACTGCAGATTCACTTTTAGTTTTCCGTAATTTTTATTTTCTAGAATAATTTTATGATTAGAGAGAAATCTCAATGATCCAAAGCTACACACGTGTCCCTGTTATCTACCTGCCCCTGCAATATCACATGTGGACAGGTATGTAATATAATCAATATCACCTATGGGAAAATCTGCAATGCTATCACAATCATACACACAAAACATTTATGAAGTTTCACCTACAGTTTCATACACAAAACAGCTACCCTTAAACTTAAAATGCACAAACTTTACAAACCTAAGGCACACAAATATCTGTATACAGACAGCACAAACAAACAAAAACAACTGTGAAAGAAAATGAAACAAAGGAAAAGCCAGGACAACAATACATCCTTTTACACTGTGAGTGAATGGGAGCATTTTACACATGTAAATGGAATCTGTGCTTCAGATAATCACACCATTATCGATGCTCTTCCTAGGAAAAGATCAGTGACACAACGCCTGGGATTTTCCAGGGGGATTCTAGCAAAAACATGGATTTCAGTAAGGCGAAACAGACTGGTTTTGCACGCGGATGTATGTCTGTGGATTTTAAATTTTTAATCAGCAAATTCATCAAAACGTGTCCTACCTTCCACGGCTCTTTTGAAGAACACTTTGCAGCTGCCACAAGTAAGAACACCGTAATGGCACCCAGAGGCCTCATCAGAGCAAACCAGACAAAGCTTGGGAGGTGGTCCCGTTGTTGCTGAGGCTGTGGAGGGAGAGGAGCTTACATCTGATCTCATTCCAGGGCTAGAAGATAAAAAAAAAAAGCATAGAAATACTTTTAATTAAGATCTGTGGGAATCTGGCAAACATCATATTCAGAACTGCAAGAAATCCTTCTCCTCAGCCGCCGCAGCTCTGCACACAAAGTCCAACAGACCGCAACAGTCAAACCATGGGTGTTGTAAGCCACCAGTAAAGCTGTATGGATTTTTCAAGGCCTATTCAACTAGGTCAGGATCACTTCCTTTACACATCTCTGAAGCCAAGTTTCTTGCACAATTACCCCAGCCTTTAAAATTGACTCTTAATCACACTCTCGTTCCATATTGTTTTCATTACAGTCACGACAGATGACACTGGGACACTATTATGCAAGGATCTGGGGGAATTAAGCCACACATTTATACATATTTACAGTAACACATGACCATTTCACCCCAGTGTTTCAGGAAAAGAGTCTCCACTCCTAATCTCAGGATGGGCTTTTCCTATGTAAACACCCAGGCCATCTACAAATGAAGGGTTAGTTCTTTAAAAAAAAAAAAGAAATCATCGTTAAAGCCCCAAAGAAACTATCGTAATCACCTCTGAGCTGCTTCTAATCATAAGGGTTGAACCAACAGGGGCTGTGGCAAAGTTCGGAGGCTGATCTCATTCAGCCCGTGTAAGCACCACAGCCCAAACCCAAACCCGCCGCGGTACCGGCCGGCTGCCGACACCTCCGCTGACACGGCCGGTTCGGTCGAGCTCAGTCGCACAGCATTTCAAACTTTGAAAATGCAATTTCTATACTGGATGCTTAAAGTGATTTTCACTGAAAATTTTGTCCAACAGGGTTTCAGCTTCTTTCCTGACGAAGCTAGAAAATAACACTTTTTTTCCTCAGAAACTCTCAAACATCCCCGCTCCCTAATGTGGGCTCTACATCCGTACGTGGGCTGGCTTTTGCATGGAAAATTCCTTCTCCTCTCCTCAAGGAAGTCTGACCAGATTTGTTCACACTTTTTTTTTTTTTTTTTTTTCCCAAAAAAACCCATAGTTCTCAAACATCTGCAAAAATCTTGAAATTCCAGCCCAAACTAAAGCTCTCCAACACTCAGGAGGCTTCACTTTTGAACAGGTCACCTCCATACACGCCATCCCCAGAGAGCAGGTGAGAAATGCTCTGCCCAGCGACTCCAAGGACTTCTGCTGTCACGTTTGCTCACAGTTCGATATTAAGAGTTCGATATGAAAAGCAGACACAAGGAGCAGGAATCCTACCACTCAAACACAGAGGGATAAAAGTCAAACCAGCATAAACATGTCAACGGAGTCCATGCTGTGACAAATACAGAGCCAGAGGGCAGAGCACCGTGGAAATTCCTCATGTTGGGGAAAAACATGAGAGAGTACAGGCATGCCAAGACCTAAGGTCCACGAAGAACCCCCCAAAAACCAGAGCCTGCGATGAGCTGGGGGAGAAGGTGACCTGTATCTAAGCTAGAGCAGAGAAGTAATGGACAGACAAGAACACAGCAACAGCTCGAACGAGGTGGAGCGGCTGTGGGAAGGAGGGGAGAAGAATAAGACCAAGGGTGGTGGGAAGGCTCCAATGGAAAAGGCTGGCAGTGGGAATGAAGCAGAATGAGTCAACCTTAAGGAAAAAGGGAAGAAAAAAAGCCCACCCAAGAAAGAACACTTCTTTCCAGAACTTGGAAAAGAATTCAAAACCATCACATCACTCCTTTGTGTTCAGCAAACATTTGTGAAATGCTCCAACACTTCTACACTATTGCCCGACAAAGGGGCTGGCAATCACCACTAGCTGCTCTGTCAGCTGAAGGGGCAGTCACTGACAGATTGCAATCCTGTTTAAGATCCATAATAATGGCTTTTCTGTGCTTTTTAATTAATTTATCTCCTTTTAAAGAGCAGAAAGCTACAATAAAATGCTAAGGTTGCACAATCCAGCACTCAAAATCCCAGCAAGGGCAGAACGTAATTCAACCCAGTTACGTTTATTTGATGTCCTTACAAACACACATTTTTAATTACACGCTCCTCCTAATTTCTACAAAGCACGTCTGCCTTCCTCAGTGCAGAGGCACTCGAGGAATGAATACCGCACCGATGGAAGCTGCCATTTGCACGGCCCCATCTCCGCTGATGAAGAAACCGGCTGACAGATGCCAATGGCTACGGGTTTGCAGGAAAAAACCCTCGTGGTCAAGGAAGCAGAGGACTCAGGTCGAGTCCTGCCTCGTATCCCAAAGCTGTGCGTGATGGCATTTGCTTAGCACAAAGCAGCCTTCTCGGACACCCTGCCTTCCTAACTCACAGCTCCAGATCTGGCACATCCTGGGAAGAAAGGCGTGCTCCCCCCGCCTGCTGATCCCTTTGGAAAAAAGAATAAAATGGTTTCTCCACTTTGTAGTGTCATATGCAAAAATAAAATAAAATAAACAAATCAAACCAACACTTACTTCAAAACCAAACAAGCCCTGCCTATTAAAAACCGTCATCACTGGCCAGTCAAAGGCTACTGCAAGTTCCCGTATTTCCTCTACAGTTTCAGGCTCAGTAGCTCCTTCTCTTATGCTAAAAATCTCAGATTAAACATTGAAATGTAAGCTGGGAGTCTGTGACTTTAAAAAAGGAATATGTAACTTGAGAACTTTTTATTAAAATGATTAAACCAGAAAAAGATGGAAACATCTTTCTATGCATAGTTTTGAAGACAGCTAATTTAGATAAAAAAATTAAACTCTTTATACCTTACGAATTTCTGACAAAAGCATTTTTAAGGAAACATTCATCAGCTGTCATAGAAACTATGGTAGCGCCAAACATATGCCACTGAAACTTTTCAATCACCTTTAATTTTTAAACAGGGCTCATCTTCTGTACCAGTACCACAGAAAATGTAATATGAGAAAGAAAACAGATGATATGACTTACAAAACTAAAAATAAATTATTACATTGATTAATAAAGCAGTAGCCAGCAATCTAATCTGGGCTTCTGGCATATCTTCTCAAGCCTGGCTGTATCAGATAAGGCCAATATTTACTAACTGTGTGGAGAGCTGCCAGACACCTCCGTCCCCTGGTTGGGGAAAACACAATTTTGTTCCCTGAAACACGGAGAACAGGAGGGATTATTAGTGTGTAAGGACTCCTGCAAGAGCTACAACAAACTGGCTTAAAGTTTAATGTAAATCTTCTACCTATAAAGTTGCACGTAGTAGAAGACAAACAACCACTTCCTAAGGAAGAGGTAAGGGAGGGGAATTACACTCTGAGAGAATATAATAAAGTCAGCTTTCGGTTATTTACAGAAATGTTTTTAAACTCAACAAAAACCTAGTGAACTATGATTCTTGCCTAAATAAAAGTCAAGAAGCACAGATGAGAGAGGAAAAAAAATTCCTAATTTTAAGGGTTCCCAACTTGTAAAAACTTTAAGTAAATTTTATTTTGGGAGGCGAGGTGTTCTTTGTTTAAAGGCAGTGAGCTCCATTCCTATGTACTTTCAGAAACTATTTCTATATAATCTAATGTCATTCCTTTGCACAGACACGTTTATCACTTCCAGTCAAGGAAACATATGGTGGTAAAATGGAAAGACTTAAAGAAAAGAAGATGCAGCCACGATAACGAGCTCAGCAGAAATCCAGCTGTTTAACCAAAGCCATTGCTGTGTTAATCATTTACCAGGGACTTCCAAACCAGGCTCAAGGTTCAAACTTTAGTAAAGCTGGCTGCACTAGCGCTGAGGGCGGTGTGAAGTTCTCCTTTCCTGGGGTTCCCATCCACCCCGGGTCACACCATCCTCCCGCAGAGGCTGTGGCCAGGGCCGGGGGGATGCTCAGGGGGCCGGGGGAGTCAGAGCCCCAGCCCCACGCTCCTCCAGCAAGGCTGCAAAGCCGGGATGTCAGACAGCAGTGACCACCAAACTGCCCTGCAGTCAGCTCTAACCATTCCAGCAGAAGGATGGGGCAGGTGAAGTTACCTGAAACCTTTCTCCAGTTCACTGCTGGAGACAACGTTTTGCTTTTTCCTCGTTTTTCTGTCTTTACTGGGAAGAATCTAAAACACAGCACAGAACATGCACACTCCCGTATGCCAACACTCTTACCACTGCAATATTATTTAAAAAATATACTGCCTTCCTGCTACTTCACATTCTTAAATGAAAAAACCTCCAGTGAGGTAAGGCAGAGATGAATATTTTCAGCAACTAAAGTCATTAGTCATTCACAGTCTCCAACTTGCAATTCTGTACCAGTGCGTGAGAGCTTCGCATGATCAGCCTTGATGACGTTTTGTCCAAAACCCTGCCCAGCCCTAGCACCCTTCTGCTGAAGGGGAAACTCTTTAAAAAATGCGAGTTAAATTAGCACCAATAGCAAGTTACACACATGCAGTGAGAACTTGGTTAACAGTCTAAAAACCAACGGCACAGAAGGCAAAGGGCTGCAGGCTCCAGAACAGGGCAAGGAGCATCTCGGGAAGGCTGGGGGGCTGCCAGGCAAAGCAGCAGCTGGCAGCCCTGCAGTTTTCACCTTTTTAAAAAAAAATCCACCCTGAAGAAAAGTTCAGGGGAAATGCATACTACAAGTTTTTTTCTGACGCACGGACAACTAAGGTATTCCCTGGTGCTATGATAAATTACAAAAGCAGAACACTTGCAGCTGGCTCCTAAAACCCTGTAAGCAAAAGCTGTTCGTGTCCAACTGCCAGCTCCAAGGAGAGGAAGGGATGCGATAGGTCTAGGGTGGGAAACAACCACCCAAAATGTGACTATATTTATTATTAAAGTTTAAAGCAGGGTAAAAAGACTATTCATTTTGTTCATGCTTCTCATTTACTACTTCCCAAATCTGAACTGCATCCACTCTGCTTGACAGAGACCACAAAATACCGCGCACTGAGTCACAGCTCTCCCGCGTAAGTCACCTTAGCATGGACGAACACATTCTCAAAGCCAGCTACTTATCTGCTGAAGTAGTATCACCACACCAACAGTAAAGAAACGATTTT